AGTGGACACCTTTGTCTGGTTCCTTATTTTAGATTGCAAGCTTGCAGTTTTCGTCCATTTAGTATCATATTGGCTATTGGTTTGTCATAGATGGCTTTTATTAGATTGAGACAAAGACTATGCATTCCAGTTTTCACTGTAGGGCTCTTATTGTGAATGAGTGTTGGACTCTGTCAAAAGCTTTTTTCTGCATCTAATGGGATGATTGTGTAATTTTTGTCTTTGACTCTGTTGATATGGTGTATTATGTTTATTGACTTGCATATATTCAACCATCCCTGCATTCCTGGGATGACTCTCACTTGGTCATGGTATGTAATCTTGAAGATTTCCTCTACTCTGTTTGCTAGTATCTTATGGAGGATCTTTGCATCTATGTTCATTGAGGTGATTGGCCTATAGTTTTCTTTTTTGATTAAGTCTTTCTCTGATTTTAGTATCAAAATAATATTGGCCTCTAGGAATGAGTTAGGGGGAACTGCTTCTCTTTCAATTTCATTAAAGAGTTGAGGAGCATTGGCATTAAGCACTCTCTAAATTTCTTATAGAGTTCAACTGTAGTCCATCAGAACCTGGGCTTTTTTTTGTTGGTAAATTTTTAATTACATTTCCAATTTAATTAACTTGTACTGGGTTATTCAATATTTTTATGTTGTCTTGATTCAGCTTTGGTAATTCATGTTTCTTTGAATCTGTCCATTTCTTCTGTGTTTTCTATTCTATGAGAGTACAGATTTTCAAAGTAGGTATTGATCTTCTGAATTTCCACAAGATCTGTAGTGATTTCACCATCTTTACTACTTATCACATGAATTTGAGTATTTTCTTTCCTTTTTTTGGTAACGTTGTCTAGGGGTTATCAACTTTATTTATTCTTTCAAAAACCCCACACTTTGATTCACTAATTCTCTGTTTTTTTTGTTTTGATTTGGTTTGGCTTTTTGGTCTCAATTGCATCAGTTTCTGTTCTTATCCTTGTAATTTACTCCTTTGTATGAGCTTTGGACTTCACTTGGGTTTTTTGTTTGTTTGTTTCTAAAATCTTGAGTTGCAGCATTTGGTTTATTTGTACTCATTTTGTTCTCCTGTTTTGAGATTCAGTATTATAAATTTCCCTCTTAAGACTGCTTTCATTGCATCCTACAAGCTCTAATAAGTTGTTTGATTGCACATGTTGTTTGATTTCTTCTTTAATTTTGTCTGTGACTTGTTGGTTATTCAGGAGGTTGTTATTTTTCATGTGTTTATGGATTTTTTGCTGTTTCTTTTTCTATTAATTTCCAGTTTTATTACATTATGGTCAATTAATATGCATGGATAATTTCAATTCCTTTGAATTTACTTAATGAAGCATGTTTTATGGGTTAGTATATGGTCTATTTTAGAGAATGTCCCATGTGCAGCTGAGTATAATCTATATTCTGATGCTGTTGGGTGGAACATTCTATAAACACTGAGTCCATTTGTTCATAAGTTTGGTTCAGTTCTGTTATTTTTTTGCTGATGCTTATATTTAGTTGATCTATCTCTTTGTGGCAATATTAAATTCTTCATTACAATTGTGTTAATGGTTATTTGATTTTTCATGTTATTAATATTTATCTTACATAGTTGGGTGCTCCTGTATTAGGTGCATATATATTTACAATTGTTATCTCTTCCTCTTGAAGTTTTCCCCTAACAAGTGTATAGTGACCTTCTTTATCTCTTTTGATCATTCTTGGCTTGAAGTTTACATTGTCTGCAAACAGAACGGCTACCCCTGCTTTTTTTTCTGAGTTCCTTGTTGCATGTAGTATTGTTTCCCATCCTTTGGCTTTTAGTCTTTGAATTTATTTTAAGTTAAAGGTGTTTTCTGTGTATAGCATAATGTTGGAGCTTGTTCCTTGATCCATTCTGCCAGTCTGTTTCTTGTGATTGGTGAATTGAGGCCATCCACATGTACAGTAATAACTGACACATATTGGCTTATCTTTGTCATGTTATTTTCCTGCTCTTAGTTCACTTGCATTTCCTCTCTGTTTAATTTCTTTAACTGCTTGTTGGTTTCTTTCTGTTGTTCTTGGAATTGTCATTTTTATCTCTGTCTATCTTTCAGTATCCTTTGTAGCATTAATGTGATTGTCATGAATTTCTTGTCTTGTTAGTGGAAGTATCTTATTTCTCCAATAATTTTGAAAGGTGGTTTTGCAAGGTACATCAATCTAGGTTGGAAGTTGTTTTCTTTCTGAGCTTGAAATACTTCATTGCAAGATATTCTTATTTTTGGGGGTTTGTGTTGAGAAATCTGCCATGATTCTGATGATCTTTCCTTTGTAGGTGATCTGTTTATTTTCTGTAACAGGTTTTGCTATTTTGTTCTTGTGCTGAATTTCTGATCTTGATTGTTATATGCCTGGACATAGATTTATTTTGGTTATGGATAACTGGAGTTCTATATGCTTCACTTATCTGTGTGTCAGATTCTTTTCCCATGCCTGAAAAACTTTCTTCTAGTAAATATTTCTTCTGCAAATATTTTTATATCATTTGTGTTGATTCCTACTTTTTTATCAACACCAATTATTCTTTTTCTTTGTGTCATGTTGTAGATGTTGAATTATTTCCTGATCTTTTGCTATTTTTAGGAAAATCTTTCCTTTCATGATTTCTAGTCACAAGCCTGTCTTCAAGGTTTGAAAAATCTGTCCTCAGTTTCATTCAAACAGCTTTGCCAGTTTTCACTGGAATTTTTAATATCCTGAATATCTGTTTGAATCTGTTTAATGCTTACCATTTCTTTCCTGTGTTGACTGTTCAATATTTCCAACATCTTCCTAGCATCGTGAACATTTTTACATTTACCTCTCCTCTAAATTTTCTGAGACATTCCTTTATAAATGTTGACAGTTCTTTTTTTTATCTGAGAACATTTCTGATCTTATTTTCTCTGTAGCCTCATGGATTTATTTTTTAATTTAGTTGCTATTATTTCCCAGAAATTTCAGGTGTGTGTCTTCCAATTTTCTTCTATATCAATATCTCATGGACTTCTTCTGAGTTGGTTGGAGGTCTGAAATTATATTTTGCTTTTTCATCTTGTCATTTTCTATTTCAAAAAATTTTATTTGGTTTTCTATGACGATCCTTTTGGGTTTTTGTAGTATATAACTATATCACTTGTATCAAGGATTCTCTAGGAAATGTCTGTTCTTCAGGGATGTTTTCTGTCTGCAGGAGATTCTTGGTTTGTGTCTAAGATCCTACCTCAGCTGGGCATAATGGCATACGCGTGTAATTCTAGCACTCAGGAGGCTAAGGCAGGAGGATTGTTGCAAGTTCAAGGCCAGCCTGGGCTACAAAGTGAATTCAAAGCCAGCTCAAACTGCATTGCAAGACCCTGTCTCAAAAAAGAAATTCTGCCTTCCCAATTAGTTAATAGTGGGGTGTTGGTTCAGTCACTGGTCCTTTGTTGTAGGGTTGTGGTAAGGTGATTACCCTAGAGTTTCCCAGTATTGTTATAGAAGGGAGAACAACTGATTACAATGGATATGACATCCTAGGTAGAGTAGTAAAATTCGCAATAGCAGTATCATTAAGCACAGTTTAGAAACTAACACACTGTGGTAATTACTGGTTTTGTACTGTAGACCATAGGAGGAGAATCTATAAGTATATAACAGAATCAACTGTAAATGAGTATTTGCGTGCAAAGTGTTTCCCCTTAGGAATTTTACCCTGAGGAAAGTGTATAAAACAGAGATAACTGGAAAGGCTATAGAAGGCAGGCTGGTGCACAAAGAATGATTGTGCAAGGTTTAGAAAACTAGATGAGGGGATAGAAAAGAAAGAATGAAATATTATTTGAGGAATTATCTGTACTTGGTCTCTGGGTTTGGGGGATGGGATTAGTCTTCTGTGGTTGGATATCTCCCCAGCCATTTAGAAAAGAGAGGAAAACAGAAAGAAAGAAAGAAAGAAAGAAAGAAAGAAAGAAAGAAAGAAAGAAAGAAAGAAAGAAAAAGAAAGAAAAAAAGAAAAGAAAAGAAGAAAGAGAGAAAAGGTAAAGAAGAAAAGATGAAAACATTGAGAGAAAGGGGCCAGTTACCAAGTTCTGGATCCGTCCTGAGTCGATTGCCAGTCCTGTGGAGGCCTCCGTCACCCTTTGGCTTGTATTAGTATTGTTGCTTCAGATTTTTTCACACTGCTGGTCTTGACTGTGAGTCCTGTGTGTATTAGTTGGGATCCTTCTGTGTCGCTGTCATTCCTTCTGGTCTCTGGACCTCAGTGGTGGCAGTAGCAAGGGGAGGGACGTTTCCCCTCTAGCACTGTTCACCTGGGTTCCTGCAGTGGCAGCAAGGCTGTGGGAGGGGTCTCTGTCCTTTGGTGTGGGCCACCTGGGTTCCCACAGTGACAGAGAGCTATCTTGCAAATTTGTTTCCAGATCTGTAGATACTGCTCAGCCGCATCATTTTTAATATTAGTATAAAGCTTTCCATTTTATTAACATTCTATAATTTAACAAATCCTTTATAGTTTGGTTAGTTACAATTCACAGCTCAGTTGCAATTCTCAGTAGATAGTTTTCTGGACTATATCCTTTTATGTGTAACTATTATTATCATCAACATCATATGAGTGTGACTTTTGTATAAATCCCAGGAGTGGAATTGTTTGTTTTTATAAATTGTCCTTTATTTTTCAAATCATAAGTTGTACAAACACCATTTAGAAGTTAGAACTATATTAACAGAATCCGAGGATGTGTAACAAACCATGTTTTTGACTTGCTGTGTTTTCCGTCAGTCCTTCTCTAGAGCAGTGAGTGGTCTTTGTGCCTTTCTGGCTTCAGCAGCCCCTCTTGTGAATCTTCTGAATGATTCAGACTGCCAGCTTCTGATTTCCCACGTATTGTGACCCAGTAATTAGAACTCTTAGACAGTGTGCAGCTGATTGAATAAAACTTTTAACTTCTGTTTCAGTTCACCTTTTGTATACAATATCTGCATTGTGTTTTTCAGATGTATCTCAATATTTTTTGTGGAGTTCCAGACATACTTTGGTCAGGATTATGCACAAACTGCGTGGATTCATTCCATTGTAGATTGTGTGACCATGCTCTGTGGTGAGTATTACAAGGATGGATGGTTATTGACTGTTCTTGAACTGTACCTGGCTATGACCTTTGCCAAGATCAAATAGCTTTCATTCTCATTTTTTTTAAATTAGCTAACACTATATGAAAAGATCAATCTACATAAAAATATAAATATTTATAAAAAGAAAAGAGCCAAACTTAACCAGTCTTAGAATTGATGATCTTTGCTGATGCTGGATCAAAGAGGTCATTAATGTACTGAAAAGGACATATACCACTTAGTTTTTCCTGATTTGGGGGGAGCCATAATATATGCTTGGTTCTGTCTTCCAAATGCTAATACTTCCTCATCCTCCAGTTACATAAACAATTGGATAGCACCAGGTTCCCTTTCTGTAGACTCTCGTTAAATGCCATCAGTATCATATCGCACCTCTAGTCTTAGATTCCCAGAGGATTCAAAATTTGGCTCATGGGTTTCATCTCTTCAAGCATAAATACTTGGAGAAGCATTGGGGGAGAATAAGATTGTATAATCAAGAGCTAAATATATTCACTGTAACTACATTTCCATCTAAAAATCTCAAAGTTGCTCTTTAGGGGACGGAATCAATGCTGCATCTATGTAGTAGAAGATGACAAACTCTGAGTGTTTTTTTTTTTTTTTTATAAATTTCAAATCAAAGTAACTAAATTGATGCCTTATAATGCTGGATTATGTTGGAACAATCTATCTGAAGCATAGACTCACGTAACTCTGTCATTCAGAGTGGCCTGAAGTATTTAGAAAACTTTAATCTCATCTCAGTTGCAAAGAGAAATTCTGTATTATTCAGTATCTCATAATAACTTCATCGGATTTTTAAATGCTATTGGATTTGGGGGTCTGGTAGCATTGTATCCAGGTTTTTGGTATCCAAAACTTAAGCAGGGCACTCAGTGAAGAGATCAAAGGCCTGATAAGGGCTCATACTGGATCTCTTACTGTGCTGGGATTATAGGAGGAACTGTAAATGGGGTTTCATGGGAGTCATGGCCCAGTCATGGCCCAGGTACCTGCCTCAGCCCGCCCCTTGGGAAGAAGAGTTCTGACCATACAAAGCTTTTAGAGAAAGTGTGTTGGCATTCAGAGGCCACTATGGGGTCAAACCTGTAATGCAAATGAGGTTGAATGCAGGCCAGGGTCATGTGCTTTTGGGTAGATGCATGTCTGGGGCCTTCAACGGTAATAGGGTGACCTTTATTAGTTTTCTGATATTTTGACATAATTATTTTTGCTTTGTCTGGTTTGATGCTTGTCCCATGACTTTCTGTGTACTGATTCCTAATTATTTTCAGAAAAAAATAAACATACTCAGGAATCAGTTGAGTTGTGCTGAAATGCATTTCTTTCTTGAGAGAAATTAGAGAGCAATTCTGGTACTGAAATCTGGCTCATGAGAAGGCTAAGTTGACTCTTTCAACTGATAAGGTTTGGAAGGATCAACAAATTGGGTTTTGTATCCCATTTTGGGTTTTATTTTTTCAACAATCAGTTGATTTTGAGGATCATGTTACTAGTCACAGTGCCTGTGTCATTATGCCAAGAGATTATATTTATCTTTCTCAGAGTATACTGTTGACTCCCTTACCTCACTGTCATCTTCTGAAAAAGGTTTATAATCCCCCAAATGAGGTAAATGGCTGTAAGTGACAAGTATGGCCACCATGACTCCATGAGACTTTGAACAGGCTCTTTTTAGAGCAGTAAAATAAAATTGAATACAGAAATGTGAGACCACTTGTACTCAGTTCCCCCATACTGCTTTCCAGGTCACGTAATATAAGAAAAAGTAGAGTTTAGAATATGGGACAAGAGACTATAGAATCACATCTGCAACACTTAATGTACAAAATATGCTGTAGACAAACCAGAGAAGTGAAAGGTATTCACTGAATTGGGTGTAAATGTTTTCATTGAGTTTGGTGTGTATCTTACTATTTTCCAGTAACTGCAGTAGTAGTATCCTTAAGAATTCAATAGGTCCTCAGGAGGTTGTTTAAGATAGATCTAGAAAGACAGTGGTAAAGGTACAGTAGAGCTGCATATACAGATACAGACACAGATAGGCACAGGCATAAACACAGATACAGACACAGATGTAGCTATGTCTCTAATATGTTAACAGATAGGAGACATGGAACTGATGACTGAGTTCATCATGTATACTGAGTTGCCCCCCAACTTCAGCCTAATCAATACAAAATGATTATATTATGCAGACACAAATATAATCACAGTTCTGACCTTGTTCGTAGAGTACTAATGTCAGCGTGACTTTTTTAGAAGAAAATTCACATGCCTTAACCCACTCTTGCAGCATGTCTGCCATTGTCTAGAGGACCCAAGGAGTGATGAAATAACAGGATGAAATAACTCTACACTCAGCATCGGTGACTTCACCTGTACTTGTGAACTTCAGCATGCCATATCACTTACTTTTTGTCTTTTTTAAATAAATCTTTTCTAAGCCTTAAGGTTAACACAATTTGGACACATTGGCAAGCTGCGAACAATGAACCAAGGAATGTGCCACCAGCAAAACATTTTTCTTAGATTTATCTGGGCTTTGGCTTTTCATCCACAGGAACTTCTGAAACCTGAAATCAGTGCCCAGTTGTGGAATTTTTCTATGAGCTCTCCCTCTGTGCTATCACACAGTGCCACTTTCTTTTCTACTAATTCACTGTTATCATTATTGTTAATGGCATATGATCAGTACTACATCAAGCATTCCTGTGCAAGTGACATGTAATTTAAATAGCTTCATAGAACATCAGAGAATTCCAGAATTATGACTGTAACAGAATCAATAATATTAAGTTAGAACACCTGAGTTCTAATTCAGTTCTGCATCTTATTCTGTATGGGACGAAATCACTTGTCTTTGGGCCTCAGTTTCAAAAGCTGTAAAATTGGAGGCATGGACCTGTTCCTTTACAGGTTGGTCTCTGCTCTCCAGTGTAACACCACAGCCTTTGCACAGCAAACTCAAGGCCTTTCTGCTGACCCTATTTATTATTGTTTTCGAAGCTCCGCTTGGGAGTGTTGTCAGTAACCATTTATCCTGCCAAGTGGGAATCATACTGGGTGGCTTGCTTGCATCTACTGGTTTCATCCTGGGCTCATTCGCCACCAGCCTGAAGCATCTCTACCTCACCCTGGGAGTTCTGACAGGTAAGAACACCGTGTACCTCCCATCTCACTGCACTTCATTCAGGTGTTGCCAAAGCACGTCAGTAGAGCAGTGAGTCATAAAATATTCGTTTTATTACGTGCGTAATCAGGCTGACTTAGTTTATATTGACTTACTGAGCAGCTGAACAGGATGGAAATGCTGCTGTACTAGCCTAATGAAAACACAGCACCACTTTAATTCAATCATATGATAAAAGTAACTGATGCCTTTCTCTTTGGCCAACTATCTGCATTCTGAAGAAGCAAGATACAAATTTTCAGCCATGGTCATTCTCTCAATATCTTTGCCAAGATATTAAAGTAGTATCTGTGATCATCCTGAGTTGCCCTTAGTTACAATAAATATCACTACCCAGTAAGTCAGAGCTTCCCATTTCAAAAAAAAAGATCTTGTTGTGAATACTTTTATATTACACATTCTCTCAAAGGAAGTATCTATTTAGGAGATCTCTTATTTCCTCAAAGGAAATATCATACTGAATCCCATGGAAAGAGAAGCAACATTGTGCATTCCATAAATCATGCTGAAGGAGACTGTTTAAGATTGAAATGGGGTTGGTTGTGAGGCTGGGGTAGCAGTTGATTCCTCACTTAAAAGGGCGTAGACAGTTGTACCCGTCTCCTGTCTGGGTGCTGTGCCATAGGATAGCCCAATCAGGCCAATGAAACATCTGACTAATAAAATTGTAAATCTGGCCCTGTCATCCAAAAATGGTACATCTACTTCTACTAATTTAAAGGGCCCAATAGCTGAGATGACCAGCTGTGAAAGTTTACCCAGTCCTAGTCTGGTTTTAACCCATATCCAGAACTCCAGGCAATGCTAGATTGTGGACCAGCCTGCACTGAAGGCAGAAATAGGACCTGACAGTGGTCCTTCTTTTCTTGCTGTGATACTCTAAACGCCCTGAGACTTCTTAACTTAAAAAGCATTAAAAGTGAAAATATGTAGAAAGTTTCTGGTCTGTCAACATTTTTCTCCTGATCTCAACAGATAATGTCATTGCTATGATCATGCATTCAATTGGGATGTTTTCAAACTCGATGGAATTTTTCTGGAACTTTCAACAAATCACATGTTATTTTAATCCAAATTCCTGAACAGTACAGATTTTGAATGTTGTGTCTTCACAGACAGTGAAGAATTGAGGCAGTTATTTGGATAATTTACACTACAAAAAGTGAAAGAGGGAAGGAGGGAGAAGTTTCTTACACAGATTTTCTAATAAATTCAGTTTAGTTGTCATAGTGATTTTTATGTTCTTTAATTTTATTTAAGAAGTCATATTTCTTTAAGGATATTCTTCCTAAAAAGAAAATCAAGTGTATTCTATATTTTTTTTGTTTGTGTATTACTGGTAAGGGAGTCTGTTTTCCAGTTTGGTATACAAAATGAGTTGAAAGGTTTTCAGTGAGGCTGAGTTCTCTTTAATCCAGATCTTCAGGGATCATTCCTCCCGCTGCCTGCGCATAGTGTACCAGCACTCACCAAGTTCTCTCCCCCTAGGTCTCGGATTTGCACTTTGCTATTCTCCAGCCATTGCCATGGTTGGCAAATATTTCCGCAGGCGCAAAGCCCTCGCTTATGGCATCGCCATGTCAGGGAGCGGCATCGGCACCTTCGTCCTGGCTCCTGTGGTTCAACTCCTTATCGAAGAGTTTTCCTGGCAGGGAGCGCTGCTCATTCTTGGGGGCTTCGTATTGAATCTCTGTGTTTGTGGTGCCTTGATGCGGCCTATTAATCTTAAAGAAGACCATTCAAGTCCAAAGCAGAACCATGCCTGCCGAACTCAGAAAGAGGACTGTAAGCGGACATCTCCCTATTCATCCTTGACCAAAGAATGGGCAAAGACCTGCCTTTGTTGCTCTTTGCAGCAGGAATATAACTTTTTACTCATGCCAGGATTTGTTGTGTTCGCCATCTCTGTTCTATTTATGGCTTACGGCTGTAGCCCTGTCTTTGTGCACTTGGTGCCTTATGCTTTAAGTGTCGGAGTGAGTCACCAGCAAGCTGCTTTTCTGATGTCTATACTTGGGGTGATTGACATTATTGGCAATATCACATTTGGATGGCTAACTGACAGAAGGTAAAAATCCATGAAAACACAGTCGTTCTCCAGGGGGGATTTTAAGCCTTGAGCTCTGGTCACCCTCTTGGTATGAGGAGTACCCATATTTGAAGAAGAGTAAGAAGCTTCAGTATCTGAAGGCAGTCGTTTACTGTTTTTTGTAAGTCAGGGCTGAACAAAGCTTCTTCTGTAAAGGAACAGACAGTGAACATTTTTGGCTTTGTAGGCCATATTATCTTTGTCACAAACACTGAACAATGCGATAGCACAAACATGACCACGAACAGTATATAAACAGATGCGTGTGATTGTGTGCTGATGAGACTTTATGCCCATGAAATCTGAATTTCTGTTGTGACATCTATGACATGCTATATTGTTCTTTTGATTTTTTCTCATTTTAAAATAGGAAAAACATTACTAGGTTGTAGGTTAAAGGAAAAGAGGTGGGTAGGCTGAACCTGAACATAATTTTCCTACTCTTACATTGATGGTGTAGGGTGGTAAGACTGTCTGAATTTCAGAAGCTAGTCAGGCATCGTGGCCCAATCCTGCAATACCGACTGCACAGGAGGATGAGGAAGTAGGACCGTAAGCTTGAGGCCGGCTTAGGCGACTTAACAAGACCTTGTATCAAAATAAAAGAAAAGTCAAAGGCCTGGGCATGTGGCTCAAAGATATTGTTCTCTTTTAGCATTTGTGAGGGTCTGGGAAATAAATAAATTGTTAGGATCTGAAAATAAATTGTAGATGCTAAGGATAACTACAAGTCCTGGTGGTAGATTTAACTGTATCGCAAGTCAAGTTAATTCTCAAGCAAGACAGCTTCTGACTGGGTCTCGTGGTTTGAGTTTCATTCAAACCACCCCAGAGATTGGCTGATAAGGAAAGAAGACTAGAATTCAGCTCAGATAAAGTGCTGATGTACAGTAATAACATTATCCATAGTCACAATATTGTAGGCTTAGAAACCAAGGTAATAGAGAAAGTCTACTAGGCAGTTTCTCCAGCAAAATCTCATCTGTTTGTATTGGAGAGTGCCAGTGATTCATATTGTCCTAAATGCACTCTTTATACTTGAGCTATGGACTGGCTATGATTTTGTGGCTTCTCACAAATTACGTCTTCGGTAATTAATCAAGATCTGGTTGGTGTTTTCTAGTGCAGTGAATATAACACTGAGGATTAATTCAACTGTTTTTTGAGGTGTCAATATAACTCCCAAGACCTTACACATGCTAAGCATGTGCTCGATCACTCAGCTACATCCATAAGCCCTCCATAAGTTTAATTAAAGAAGAAAGGAAGGAAAAACAAATCTGTCTGCATAATCTAGTACCTCAGTATGTGCAATATCTATTTACCTGTCAGCCTCATATCATTTTGTGAGGTTCAAACAAAGTCATTGGTAGAAAGATGTTTATAAACTACTAGAACGGATATTATGCAAAGTCATTGAAATAATTGGTATCATGGAGGGATGAGGAGTATTAATATAACACTTAGTCCTCATACAAGACTATCATCATCTCCAGGATTCACTTTAATGTCTTCATGTTTCATTTTCCTCTGTGTGTAACCACTTGTAGTATTGAGCATCTGTCACATGCTGGCTATGAATGAATAGCATATCTGAAAGCATCTAATCTGGGAGATGGTAGCTCGACAATATTAGTGTCTTAACACTCTGTATATTATTTCAAAAGTATCTTAAGGGCAACTTCCCATTTTATGGTGAGTTTGAAGTTACAGTTAGATTCTAGTGCATATATACTTTTTCTCTACACTTCCTAGAGAGATAAATTCTTGCATTTGCATTTACCAAAAGAAGGTAAGGAGACAATACAGATAATATACAAAGAAGTGATCTTAATAAATAACTCCAGTGCTTGCTGCTGCATGGCTCTGGTCAGATTCTCTCATGGAGCCTGTACAGCTTGCACACATTTTTGTTCTTCCAACCCGCAGGTGTCTGAAGAGTTACCGCTATATCTGCTACCTCTTTGCCGTGGGACTAGATGGGCTCTGCTATCTCTGCCTCCCAATGCTTCAGAGTTTCCCCTTGCTTGTGCCTTTCTCTTGTACCTTTGGCTACTTTGATGGAGCCTATGTGACCTTGATTCCAGTAGTGACTGCAGAAATAGTGGGAACCTCCTCTTTGTCATCAGCACTTGGTGTGGTGTATTTCCTGCATGCAGTGCCGTACCTGGTGAGCCCACCCATTGCAGGTAAGTTTTTGGGAAAAACATCAACTGCTTTTGTCAAAACAGTGAACCTGTGTATGGACGTAGGCACACACATGCACATGCACACACACACAGAGGAATTGGCAAGAAAGCTAGAGGAGTGTTGTAGTCAGGGGTTGCAAGGAGAACAATTATATACAGGACACAGAATTTAGAGAATTATTTTATGATAGTCACCTAGAGTTAAATACAAGAAAGTGTAGGAAATGTGTCCACAACACTAAAGAACTAGAAAATCCAGTCAAGGGCCTGGATCCCAGCAGTGTCCTGCGTGAGTCCAGTTGAAGACCTAGAGCACATGACAGTGCCTCCCATGAGTCCAACTGGTGGCCTGGAGCCCACAAGGACTCAGGCAAGTCTGTTTTATGAATTTGCACTAGAAAGCCCAAGGTCAGTGGCGGAAACTAGAAAGTCTATGCCAGCAGGGTGAAGGATCTGTGCCAGTAGGTTGAGGGTTCTGCAGTGGAGCCAAGAAGTGACATTCAAAGTAAGGACCAGAGCTTCCCTGAAAAGTACCACAACTAGCCTCAGTGACAGTGAAGTCTTGAGCTCCTCCAATGGTGAGAACAGCTGAGTATTTATCAGAAAGCCAGCATGATAGACTTCTCCTGAATATTAAAGAGCACACATCTTCCCCTCAAGAGCCATGAAGCAATGCTCACTGTTAGGACCACAGTTCCCCCAAAGAAACTGCACCCATCCTCACCACAAGGTCCCGAGCTCATCAGTGATAACAGCTGAGTTCATATCAGAGGAGCCAGCGTGACAAACTCTTCCAGGAGAACCAACAGCTTCAAACAACAACACCACTTAGAAGAACTGACAAGCTACTCTTCCTGTCCAGGTCTTTTTTATGCTGGCAACAGTCCTCAGATGGGCCATCCACACTCAGCATCACACTGATTCAGTTCAGATGGTGTTAAGCTGAACACTAGTTTTTAATCCATAACAGGGAGAGTGACAAAAGAAATGGAATGCAAGAACCATCAAAAAAGTTATGTTCTTGCCAGGCATTGTGGGGCACACCTGTAATTCCACCACTCTGGGAGGCTGAGGCAGGAGAATTGCCAAGTTCAAACCCAGCCTGGGTAATTTAGCAATTTAGTGAGACCTATCTCAAAAGAGTAACTAGATACAGATAGATAGATAGATAGACAGACAGACAGATAGGTAGAGATGTGGTTTGGATATACCTTAGTGTGAAGGCTGTACCCCAGTAACAAAACAAAAACCTAACAATGAACCATCATGTTCTTCCAAACTTCTTGTATAATCTTTTTTTTTTTTTTTCTTTCAATAAACTAGGAGCCTTAGCCTACCTGGCAAGGAAAAGGTCCCAAATTAGGTTCCGTTTCATATTAATGGGAGGGGGGGCAAAAGAATGGGGCAGCTGTTGAAACTTGTAAATAAGTAGAGCAGTTCAGAGGGAAGTCTGGTGAGTACAAGATTCCAGGCGGGGCGGCGGGTGGTGAGGGCAAAGTGAGAGCTGCTGAGTCCGGGGCCCTGGGGGCCAGGTGGAGCGGCCCCCCGTTCTTATTTACCATTTATTTTTACCAGTGTGGGTCACGTTAAGTTTTTATGCAAAGTGGTAATAGTAAAAAGTGTGTTTTAGAAAGTGTGATCTGCCAGTGAATCCGGTGATTTAGGACAGAGGTAGTTAGATGCTGCAGCAGAAATAGAAACGAACTCTGAAAAAGAGGAAAATTTGAAAACAAATCAAATGAATTTAGCATATCTGGGTGAAGGAGAGAAGGAAGTTAGAGAAGAGTTAGAAAATAATGTCATGGTTGAAATAAAGAAGGAAATTGAAGATAGTGCCTTTACTTGAAAAATAATGAATTTAAAGTTTAGTTATAGTAAGTCACATAATAAATGGGTGAAATTTCTCAACAAAGCACACTAGGGAGACATTAAATTTGGACATGAAGATTTGAAAGTCATCAGATAAAACTTTTAACATGTTTTATAAACTAAAATGCTATAGAAACTTAGAGCATGATCAAACCAAGAGTCTGACAGGTATTTATTGTGTATGTCAAGAAATTCAAATATTTACTGTTTTATCACTAGCATTTTGTTTAGTGCTAGCAATACAGCAGTGGCGAACTGGTCCAGATTTGTTTCTCTTTGGTAGAGTTTGTGGTCTAGACCGGTGTTTCCTGTAATGAGAGCCTGAGACCCCTAGACCCGTATCTCCAGGGCACTTGTTTAAAAGTGCAGATTTAAAAAAAAAAAAAAAAAGTACATATTTCTTGACCTTTCACCTATGATCTGAACTGTTTCAAATTTATTTTTTATTAATACACATCTGCAGTATGTAAAGTTTACATTTCTTATAGGCGGGTAACACTTCTTAATTCCTTTTTTTACCCTCCATCCATATTTTGATCCCCTTCCCATTTGAAAAAGCTCTGTCTCCCTACTTCCTGTTACTTATCCTTTATTTCGTTCTTTTTATATTTTGGGTTTCTCATATAAGAGAAACCGTTTAAGACCATGTGTCTGATTTATTGCAGTTAACATTATGGTCTCATGATGCATTCATTTTTCTGCAAATGATTTGGATTCATTTATCTTATGGCAAAGTAGTACTTTTCAGCTGGTTAGTTCTCTTGTAATGTTCAGGCACACTAAAGATTTAGAGTAACTAGTCCAGATTAGTACCCGCTGAATTAAATCCAGAGAGCGAATAAGGCCTCTAATAATGTACTGGTGAGAAATGATCCAAATATTTTCCTAAAAAGGGAAGCGGATTTCTTGAACAAAGCAGGTTCTGATATTAGCTGGTGTTATAAACAAGACAGTTTATGTTTATTTCCAAATTACAGCAAGTGCTGAGGAGCATACTAGGGAAATTGTGGCTGCTTAACTGCTGCAGGTAAAAATTCCTGATCAGTTTAAACTCCATGATGCTTATTGCCTCATTTTTAAAAACTATTCCAAAATGTTCCTATATCTTCCACTTATAACTAATTTTAGTGTTCACTAATTTTTAAGAACAATGCAGTACTTTTACATGTCACAAAACATACTGGGAAATTGGGATTCCCAGCATTTTTTTTCTCTATTTCTAACCTTCATATGGTAAATCAGACATAATGATCATGAATGGAATATAAAGAATTAAGATGGGCTGGGGATTTAGCTCAGCGGCATAAGCACCTGCCTTACAAGCGCAGTCGTGAGTTCGATCCCCAGTACCAAAAAAAAAAAAAAAAAAAGGAATCAAGATGTGAGTTCTTATTGAAAAGCTTCTCTTCTTTATTTTACCTTTTAAAATTACAGTTCAGGGGCCAGGAGTTTAGCTCAGTGGCACAAATGCTTGCCTGGCAAGCACATGAGTTTGATCCCTGGTACCAAAATAAAATAAAATAAAATAAAAGACAATTCACCACTTGGCCTCCATTTGGTACTATGGGAATATACTAGTAAATCAAACGATAACTAAAATGTTTGAGAGTAATTTGCAAGAAACTTTGTGGGACTTGTAACAATTTCTATGCCTTTTTGACTAGTGCAGTTGAGGGCGGTGAAAGCAGGAGCCATATACTTCTTTGGTAGAATTTTGGGAGGGGCCATAAAAGTAGAGTTTGGAGGAATTTTAAAAAGAATTTCTTTAAATCACAAAATAATTGTCTTCTAAGTACAATTTTATTACACTATTTCTCAGATATTCATGGCTTATGTTTTATATAGTGTATAATTTGATTTTCTTCAAAATCTAGAGTTGGGAAAAATATTGAAATTATTTGTTGCAATAAGAGATGAAGGAGAAAAACTCGTTACAGCTGTCTGTCCTTGGAAGCATGCAATTAGCACATCTATGATGACCCAAAGTTCTGATTTTCCAACTGGAAAGGGGATGATAGAAACCAGATCCAATTGAAAATTTAGATATTGCTGAAGCTTTTGTTACTTAAGATAGTACTTGGGGGCTGAGAATACTAATACCTTTTACATAATTATATTGTTTTTGACACCCTAGATAAATTATCTGAACTTTAATAATTTGAATGCTATTTACAGTCACAGGGCAGCCTAGCTTGGTGGTATACTCCTGTGATCCCAACACTTTTAGGAAGATTGAGGCAAGAGGAGGATAAGTTCGATCCTTTCTGGGCAATTTAGTGAGAGCCTGTCGCTAAGTAGACTGCCCCTACATTCAATCTCTGGTACTGAGAGGGAAAAAATCCTACAGGACACATTGTATGGTTACTAAGTACAAGACATTCTTCTAACAACTTTACTTAAATAACAATCATTTTATTTTGGAAGTTGCCCTTAAAAAGCATTTGTCATTTGGTACATGTTATTTCTAGGCAACTTGGTTATTGTCTCAAAAGTATAATACTTGCCCTAGCAGTCTGCTGTCAGTATGCTTACAGATTATTAGATTTGAGTATGGGTAAGTACAATAATTGGGTTTTCAACTCAACAATATAATTTTGCTATTGTTTGTTGCAGGATGGCTGGTGGATACAACGAACAGCTACACTGCAGCCTTCCTTCTCTGTGGGTTTTCCATGATATTTAGTTCTGTGTTGCTTGCCCTGGCTAGATTTGTAAAGAGGATAAAAAAACCCCAGCTGCAGTTGCTTGCCAAAGAATCTGATCCCAAGCCGCAGCAATGGACCAATGGATCAGTGGCTTATTCTGTAACAAGAGAATTAGATCAGAAGGATGAAGGATTTGTGGCCGCAGCAGGGCCTGGTAACAACCTCACATGACCAACGGCCTTGAGCCTGTGAATTTTCAGGACTGAGGGAGGTGGGACCAATTCTTCATGTTTCTGAAGCATTTTATTTTGGCAGAAGTTCTGCTTTTCAAGGAAATTATTACTGTTGTTTTGTTAACATATTTATATGGGAAAAATAGCAAATAATAAAGAGTGCTGGACTAGCCTGGAGTTTCCTCTTTGGGGATTTGTACTCACAATAGACTTTGGTCTTCTGGGCAGTGGAGCATTGCTCCATTGAGAATATAAGGACATGGTTGATTTAATGAGTTGTACTTAGTGGAACTGGGCAGCAGCTTGTCCTCCCAAAGTCTACTCTTCGAGCCACTTTCCTCCACCCAAAAGCAAACAGAAACATTGGCATGCAGGGTTGCTTTCTCCATTCTGTTTGCAGTCAGTCTGGATATAGTGGTACAAGGTGAGGATTCTAGTCTTTTTCATGGCAGAGTTTCTCATTAGAGTGGTTAAGGAATACTTGAGATTTTTCCAAAAGTAATGGTTAATACAGAAAGAGACTTTTCTCCTTGTATCATCTAACCAACCTTTGCCTTTGCCAATGGCTAGATATCGCTTGGAGAGTCCAACAAATTACATGGCTGGAATGGATCTTAATGGGTGGCGGGTAAGATATTCTACTTGAAATAGTCCACTTGAAATGGAAAGCTCTTTTTCTTGGATTGTTTCCCCGCACTCATGTCTATCACTATTGCATAGTTACTCTGCAATTTAGCGGAGCACATTCAGCTGCAGGAACACCTCTCCAACTTTACTGAAATGTTGGTAATACCAATACTCTCGTGTTGTTTTCTCTTCCCCCAGAAACCTCTTATCTGAAGTGCAGACATGGTCCTATTGGGAACTAACAGTGTTGACAGCATTCCAGTTGGACAAGGATTAAATCCTTGAATCAGCAGATCGGTGGTGAGAGATTCTTTGCAGATCAGACATTAGGTTCATCATCACTCCCAAAAAGGTCTTGGGAGTTCTACCTGAAAAATACCATCTTGGAGATACCCTAAAACTGAGATTCTTTTCTCTCAGTATTCATGCTTGTTCCAACACATACTGCCCTTCATCTTTTTATGGACAATAATTAGAAACACAACTCACTGACTTAGTTTTTCATACTCCAGGACCCCATTTCTCTATGGTTAGGGTTCATTTCTGAGTTTTCAGTTTGAAGAGAGAGAGAGCAAGGAAAGAAAAGAGAAAGGCCAGGTCTGCCAGGCTTCTTGAAACCGTTTCAAATCCATAGAATGTTAATCTTGAATCTCAGATCATCTCACACATGCAAATAGGCGCAATTTATGGAGTTAAAAGGAGGATTTTACTTATCTAAGAATTTCAAACCCTAGCCTCCAGGAAATATTTTGAACCTAATAGCCATTTAATGTACTGAATCCCTAGAGATCTTACAGGTGCCATGCCAGAGAGGCTGGGAGGAAAAACAGAACGGTCCTGGGTTGGCTAAAGAATTCTCATTTAATAAAGAAATGATCTCCTAACAATCACATGTTAATGTTAATCCATTGCTTTCTAAATGAAATACTGACTTGATTTGATGAGAGAAAATCATAGTATTTGTAGGTTGTTTTTCAAAGACAGATTTGAATGTTATCTGTTTATCTATTTTGAGAATTAGTTTTTACACATTGCAACCTTAAAAAAAAGGAAAATATATGTGAAAAATCAAAGTTAAAATGAAGTTATATAGATTTGGAATAGTGCTTTACCTTAAATATCATTTCTTGAATCTTTAAGCATAAAGATTTTTTGAAGTATAGTTACAAATATTCTTATACATAGTTTTTCATAATGATGATCACAGTAATGATCTGCAATATAATTTCTTTAAAGTATTGTATTTATGAAAATGAGCAAAGTGATGAGAGGTTTTAAAGATTTTATTAAAACACAAGAGATATTTTAACTTTTTACATGCATAAATTTCCATTGTGCTTTCTCTCTTGGAGCAGCATTTTCAGAAAACTAGTAAGAAAAATGCAGGTCTTAGAGCCTACAATTTTGCCATTTACACAGAATTTTGCTGTTAATGTTTCATGTGCTTATACTGTTTGTTACAAAACTGAATTTGTGGAAATTGTGTCCTTTATGGGATCAAGACAAAGCTGTGGTAGAATGAGACTATATCTTAAATATTTTTTATACCACTGTAAATTTACCTTGGAACCTACTGGGTAGAAAAGCAGAATAAACGTCCTTACTACTGCAGACAGTGTGTACAATTGAGCCGTTTGTTCAGATTATAATTTCACTAATAAATCCGATATGTATGCTAATATTGTCCCTGCTACTTCAAAATCAAAATAAAGTGAGGTTATAGTTACGTGTTTGGGGCCATTTTTGTCTTGAACAAGGATTCTGGAGAGGATGATGTGTGAACCTGTCTAGAGTATATTGAGATGTCCTGGGATGATTTTACAAAACCTTTACTGAGTATGTCTTGTGTGCTACTGTGCTACGCACTTCGTATGTGTTGTCGTGTTTAATCTTTATTTTATATTATCACGAGCCACCAAGTCACACAGCTCAGTAGTCATGCACACTCCGTGACCTGAGTGTGAACCCTGTAAAACTGGGCTGCTATGGGATGAAGGCACCTGGGAAGGGCGTGGGATGCATACCTTGTCCTTAGAGTCTGACCTTTCAAAGTCTATCAGCAATGCTTTCCCAGTCAGGAGTTACTTTTGAACTAACTTTGCCCACGCCAGGGTGTTCTTGATCCTTACTATCCTGATTCCTGTAGGTCTAATTCTGAAATTGTTTATTGAAAGGAAATAGTGTTCTTTCAGTATAGACATCTGAATCTCTCATCTCACTTTTCAAAGTTCGGGTCTTTTAAAAATTTTTTTAACTCCACCAAACAGTAGATTTTTAAATAATTGTTACAAAAACAGCCATCAGTGACAGATGACTGTAATTTTACCCCCACAGGAAAGTTTAAAAATATTTGGTGGGGGCATGGGAAAATATTAAGTATTAACAAAAAGACTGATATTTAAGACAAAATATTTTATTGTGGAACTTTTCAAACATGCCTGGAAGTTCAAAGAATAAACTGAACTTAATGTACCCATCCCGCAGCATCTACAATTAACCGACCCATTATCTTGAAGCAATTTGAAAGGATTAATGTGACACATTTTCCTTCAGCTATGGAGGGGTAATTGAACTTGGGAAAACTAACCTGCTAACATTACCAGGAGCCATGGGTAGTTAGGGTAGCTTCTGTAACGAGCCAGGTCATTTACCAAGTGGATCAAGGCCCCTTTTTGCTGTCTCAGTTGGAGCTGCAGATTGAGACCTCCTCCTCCTCGCTTCTGCCCCTTTGTGCAATCTGAGCTTTAGGGCTGTGTTCAAAAGCACATTGAAGGCCATCCTTAAACTCATTAATGTTCTTCATTGTTTAAAAGTCAGAGATCTTTTTTAGGGGTTTGGAACCTAGATTTTGCCTAAAATTAAAATACCTTATTCTTGAGGCTGAAATTGACATTAAAAGTGTTAAAGTTAGCATTTTAAATTCAGTCCTTAAAATTTTTTTTTTCCTTATGAAAGTATTTCTTTTGTGATGATCATTTAGGTCTTTTCCCCCTGAAAAATATTCTGGTAGAACAGCTGGAGACCCTGATCCTGGACTGGTCATTATTCCTGAAGAGCTGGTTTTTGCAACTGGGCCCAGAGGAAGGTCTCCGTGTGGGTCATAGTGGGGAAAAGCCTAGAAGTAAGAAAGAGGGAGGTGGGCGGCCTCTTTGTTCCAGGAGACACCCAAGGCCCCTGGGTCTCTAAATTTGCCAGTCTCTACCCAAGAAGAGATGGAAGACTTCAGATATATGATTAAGTTTTTAAAGTTCAGTCAGGGAAGAACATGTTTCTCAAAACCACAGTGCTTACAGGTCTGGTATAAGCGTTCACACTGGGACAGGACTTGGGAGATTGTACCAGGGGACGCTCCTCTCTGTTGGACACGCTTCCCTGAAAACTCTAAGCACCAAGCCTCCCCTCTGCCCTCACTGTGGGGCCTTTGATCTGCTGCAGACTCACTTCTCCTTCCCGAGTCAGTGGGCTTCATAGAGACCGTCTTTAATGACCTCACCTGTCTAAGTCACACATTCTCACACCTGCATTACTTGCATAGCACCCTCTTCCTTTCCTGCAAAGAACCTAACGATAATTACTCATTTGTGTATTTAAAATTTCATCTCCCCACCCCTAAACCTCAAATTTTTGAGGATAAGAATCATGTTGACTTAATCAGTGTCACATAATAGACACTCAGCAGATAATTTGGTGAATGAATAAGTGGATGAGAACTAATGAAGATGAACTTAAAAGCTGCTAAAAGGAATTGTGACACAAAGGTGAGTGGGGGCCAGGTTTGTGTGAAGTTGCTCTTAATAAACAGGCTATATTATTCCAAATTCAGTAAGTCTTGGCAGAATGCCTTTGAGGGGTGTTGTTGAACACTCTGGGGCAGGTTTGGGAAAAGGAAGGAAAGGGGTGAAGAGAATAGTGGGCAGAAAGTTATGATATAAAGATATTATGTAACCACAGTCTTCAGTTTAAGCCCTCACTGTAGAAATGATTCTACAGTGTTCAACTAAGTCAAAAGATAAAATAGCTCCGCTTTGTACAAATGAGTAGAAGCCTGGGGAAGGGGCACAGCTCACAGAGAACCTCCACATCAGAAAAGGTGGGTCACACCCCCACACTTCAGGGTGTTGTCCATAAGCAGCACCTGGGGCCTTCTAGGTGAACTGCCAGGCTTGGTCAGGTAGATGCCTTTAACTGGAGTTGTTTCCAGCCCCATGTTTGGCTTCTAAAGAAGAGTCCTACTGAGAACTGGCATGCTGGCAGGAGTTTTAAAGAGATGGGACGAGGAGTTAACCAACCAAATATTTATTAAACACCTTACTGGAATTTGACATGAACACACACAGTGCCCACTTCATGATGTCAAAGTTTACTGCTTAGTTGGTAAAGTGAATCTGACTCTTACTTTGTCCTGGATGAGATCGCTGGAAAGTCATCAAACACTGATCTGAGCTTAAGGGTGCAGCGCTCTGGGTCAGGAGAGGAAGAATTGTCCGCTGGAAAAATGCAAAGCTGGTCCCAAGAATCCTAAAATGGGGCTGGGAGTAGGCATCAGCCCCAACGCTCTTCACGATTGCAGTTGGGAGTGGAACCTAGGGTGTGGGGCAGCCACTGTGTGCCATGATCTGAGGTGGCAGCAGGCAGTGCTCCCGGCCAGTGTAGAACCAGGGACGAGCTGGGGAAGTGTAAACAGGGCTGGAATTTGAGGGGTTGCTGGATTATGGGGCTTGTATTTGGTTTCTCTAAATCAAAAGAAGGAATTTTCAGAACAAGGGTTATCCTTCAGTACTCACCTTTCAAATCTCAAAAGGAAACATTTGTAAACTTTCTTTTCTCTACAGCTTGGAAAACAGAAAAGTAGTTTTAGACTGAGATGTTATGCAGCACTGCCATCTGCTGGAACTAATGATTGCAAGAGGTTGCAGCTGTCCTAGTAAGTAATAGAAAAATAAAAGAGAACAGAGAGACAGAGACAGAGACAGAGAGAGAGAGAGAGAGAGAGAGAGAGAGAGAGAGAGAGAGAGAGAAGTGGTTGAGGGTCTTCTCTCCTTTCCCTGCTTTTCTCTCCTCCCTACATTCCTTCCTCTCTTCCCTCTCCCTCTGTACCCCCACTTTCTGAAATATAGGGAGTATCTGATATTAAGTTGCACATTCTTCTATTTCCTGAAACCCTCTCAAGAAAGGAATTTATATGTAAATGACCTGTGAATCAGTCTTAATTTTGGTGTTTGTTTATATTGTTCTCTGTTCTGGGGAGACTTCGGGAATTGACCTGGTTCCTAAAAGGGAAAACATCTGGAAGGCATGATTGAACCAAGTTAACATAACTGAATTAGGAGCTCAGAGCCGCTTTTCAAAGTCTGTCTTGGCTGCTGAAGGCAGACTCAGGAAATGTTAATTGTATAGCGTTTCCTCAAACCTCTCAAGTAGGTTGCTTCTTTCTTGAGGAATTTACTGTGAGAGAGAAGCTCCTGCTTTAGAGCAAATCCCTTGATTCTTGCATTATTCTCTCCATACATTCCAGAAACATTTTAATGCAAGAGTCAAAACTGAGTAGTTTTCTTTCATTTTCCCTTCTGGGGAGCATTGGGGCTTTGTGTCAAATTGCTGGTCACCTGCGATTGCAGCATGTTAGAGTCAGTGCGGTTCTCTAGAATCTCTCAGTCTGAGAGAAGAGTTGCTCCTGCCTGCCAACATTTTTCACCCCATAGTTTAAGAGTATTTAGAAAATGTTATAGAGCGGGTAAGTAGTGGATTCTAGAATCAGGCATCCAAGGTTTAAATCCCTTTCTTCTCACTAGGTAAATGATCTTGGGTTTATTTAATGGCAATAAATTCTGAAGTACTCATTTAAAAAGGAAATTGTAAAAATGCCTATTTAGAGAGGTTTCATAAGGATAGTATAAGCTTACTATATCTCCTACACTTAGAGAGCAGCTGGCAGAATTAACTGTGACTCTTAAACTCGCAGTGCATAGTACATTTAGCGTCTAATCCATGCTAGTTGTTGAGTTTTCTGTGTTTTCCCAGAAGGTTGGCATTTCCAGAATTTACAGAGCTTCACAAATTCTTTGGTTACTGGGCTGAGTTGTTACCATCAAAGGCACTGAGAATCCTAGTTCATCTCATTATGGAGGAACCTCTCAATTTAGAGTAGTCATGGCATTTCTGTACATATTTTTGGCAGATACTAGTTTTTCTTCTCTTAAAGTGAAAGACAACAAAAGTTTTAGTGAACTAACTTGTCTGAGTAAATCTGACACTGCCAGAGAAGCAGGTTACTGTGGTTGGGGTATGTTATGATGTAGATTCAGACTGTACCCCCCCAAACTCTCACGTTCTCAGCAAGGGCTTTTAGAAGGTAATTGGCTCATAAGGACACTATACCCATCAGTACGTCGATCCACGGATGAATCCGTAGTTGAATGTGCTGTTGGAGCTGGGTTCTGGTCTAAAGAAGTGGTTCACTAGAGGTAACCTGCAGGATGTATCTCCCTCTTGGGCTTCTCACTTCTGCCTCACATATCCCATGATGTGAGACTCAAAGGCTCCATGCATTCCTGAAAACTAGTAATACAGCTCCAAAAGATCCTAAAAGTTTAGTATTGTTATAGTTATTATTCTAATAAGTATATAGTTGTAGAGTAACTACAGAGTGACGCTATAGTTATAGTAACTCTACAGTAATAGAGTGACTTAGAAAGCAAAAGGCAGTGAGACAGGGCTAGGTCCTGG